ATAGTACCCACAAAACACCAGTCTCAACGCCAACAGTGAAAAAGCGACTCCGGGATGCTGACCTTCTAGGCAAAGTTGCAAAGAAAGAGCCATATCTCAGACTGGCCAATAAAAATAAAACATTAAGATGGGCAGTCTGAGATATGGCTTTTTGTGCACCGGGGGCTCCTACTCCTCTTTCTATTCTGGTTAGAGCCAGTTTGCGTGTAATCGAACCCACAATTGCTGATGCTCCAGATACTCAACTAGTCTCAAGAAGGCCAGTTTTCAGCTGTGCTAACATAATTGCAAAAGGGTTTTCTAATGATCAATTAGCCTTTTAAAATAATACACTTGGATTAGCAAACACACCGTGCCATTGGAACACAGGACTGATGGTTGCTGATAATGGGCCTCTGTACGCCTATGTAGATATTCCATTAGAAATCAGCCATTTCCAGCTACAATAGCCATTTACAATGTCTACACTGTATTTCTGATCAATTTGATGTTATTTTAATGGACAAAAAATTGCTTTTCTTTCGAAAACAAGGACATTTCTAAGTGACCCCAAACATTTGAACGGTAGTGTATATGTCGTTTTGAAGAGGGATCATAATTGACTTGTGAGCTCCACATCCACTCTGTATTGGACTGTGCTCCTCCATATTTTACTGTGGAAGGCTTCCAGCCACTTTGATTAATCTTGTTTACTCCGGTTTGATTGATGTCATTTCCACTCCATTTGACAGGCTGGCTAGAGGTGCATCAGGGCTTTATGAAGAAATGTTTTGGAGAAACTCAAAATGGCAGCTGTGGCCCTGGGGTGTTTGGTTTGGTAGTGTAGTGTTGTAGCAGAAAACCCTGGGGGAGCTTGTAGGTTAACACAAGGACTTAGCCTGGCTCTCATTAACAGCACCATATGGGCCTATTCTCTGCCTAGACCAGGGGTGTCAAAGTCAAATGGACGGAGGGCCAAATAAAAAATTTAGCTACAAGCCGAGGGCCGGACTGTTCGAATGTTCATTGAAAAATTTTTAAATGACGCATATAGTCTAGTGAACCTAATTGAACCTACTGAAAACCTAACAAATATATTCCAATATGATCAGATAAATAAAGCAATATTTTCTTATGGCTCTGTCAGTAATCTTTAATTTTCAACAGACACAAAAGACAAATTTCCTTTATATAAAAATCCCCATAACATGAACATTAAATGAAAGAAACCGGTATTCAAGGCACCATCAGTAGCCTATATTTTCTATTTTAGCAAAAGTGGGCTAAATTTACTTCAAAGAAAAAAACAATAATAGCAATTTTCTATCATCCACTCAACTGAAATATTTTTAAAATATAATTGGATTGAAATACAATAAAATAAAGTGCAAAAATCTATTAATCAAAAACAACACTTTGTTTAAGGAGAAGTAACATGCAGTGAAAACAAATATTAAACTTTAACTTTTAAACTTGAACTGAGTAAAAACTCTAAATATGTGATTGCACAGTAATGTTCACTTGTTTGAGGTTGAGGGTGATACTTGGTGGTGTCCCATCTTTTCCACAAGTTCATCAATGTTCGGGGTAAGGCTCTGAGCTGAGGAAATCCTCAGAATTGAGTGGAGGTGTTCAGCAGTAAGTCGACTTCTGTGTGATGTTTTGTTCAGGTTCATCAAAGAAAACAGTTGTTCACACAGGTATGTGCTGCCAAACATAGACAACGTTTGAGCAGCCTGGATGCGCAGCTGGGGCATTGTGTCGGGGAGGAAACGGGCGAACTCCGCAGCACCCACTGCCGCATATTTTGCCCTCAGTGCATCATTGCATTGGAGGTCAATCAACTCCATTTGGAGGTTTGGTGGTGAGCTTTCCACGTCAACAGCAAATGGGTTACCGAGCAGTTCCAACCTGCTTTTTTGTGCTTCAAAGTCAGCAAATCGGCGTCGAAAGTCAGCGGCAAGCATACCTATACTTTTTTTTTTTTATACCATACTTTTATCAGCCAACTGTGCGCTCGGGAACGCACTGGTAGAGAGCTTCTCTTTCATGGTCTGGCAGCTGGGAAAGTGGCTCAAATTTTCTTTCCGCATCTGCGTCTCCCACAGAGTCAGTTTGGTTTTAAATGCCTTCACTGTACTGTACATATCAGAGATGACATGATCCCGACCCTGCAGCTGCAAGTTCATTGCATTCAGATGACTCGTAATGTCACACAGAAAAGCCATTTCACACAGAAACATTTCGTCTCGGAGTTGTGTTGTGTCTTTCCCTTTGCTGTCCAAGAACAGACAAATCTCCTCACGAAGCTCGAAACATCTTTGAAGCACCTTTCCCTGGCTTAGCCATCGCACCTCTGTGTGATAAGGCAAATCACCATGCTCCGTTTCTAACTCCGTCAGAAATGCCTTGAACTGGCGGTGATTCAAACCTTTGGCTCTGATAAAGTTAACTGTGCGCGTGATGATGCTCATTACATGCTCCATTTTCAAGGCTTTACCGCACAACGCTTCCTGGTGTATGATACAATGATAAGCTGTCAGCTCACCTGTCGCGTTTTCCTCTTGCATCTTTTCCCGTATCTTCGCCACCAGTCCGCTCCTGTGTTCACACATCGCAGGTGCTCCGTCGGTTGTCAAACCCACGAGTACTCTTTCAGTACCGCCACACTTTCTCCACACAGAAGACACACAGGTTTTCCAGCTACCTCCGTGAACATATACTCCGACTCCCACCTTGTTTGAAACCCCCGGTTCTCAGTGTCCACCTTCCGTTTTGCCATTTTTGATGGGTATCTGAAAGTTAATTTTACTGTGATGCTGACGACTGCTGTGCCAATAAATATTGAAATGAAGCAGCCTACTGCTCGGTGCGTCACCGTTGCATTGTGGGAAATGTAGTATTGGTGCGTGTAAAAGATCTGCGGGCTGCCGGCTTGCTGCGGTCTGCGGGCCGGTTCTAATAATAAATCAAGATCATCCCAGGGGCCGTAAAAAACCTTCTCGCGGGCCGGATGTGGCCCGCGGGCCTTGACTCTGACATATGTGGCCTAGACCAATTAAAATCTGCTTATTATAGGCATTATGATAACTAAGGCACGGTTTGCCCATCGTCAAGCAAGCTTTAATTTTCTCCTTTAGATATGTTGAGCTTTAAATAAGTTGCCGGTGTATTTCTTGTCAAAATGGTGACACTGCTGTAAATATCTTCTGATATCTGGTGATACCGCTGCTTCAAGGGCCTTTGAACCCAACTAGTGTAAACCATTGTTATGGAAACTAAAGGCCACGTTTACCTATATCTACTGCCTTCTGTGATACATCAAAAAATCTCTGCTTTGTGCTCTGAGATTACAGTTTATAGCTTGTATCTAATCCAAAATGTAAACATATATATGTACAGTCGTGGTCAAAAGTTTAGAGAATGACACAAATATTAATTTTCACAAAGTCTGCTGCCTCAGTTTTTATGATGGCAATTTGTATATACTCCAGAATGTTATGAAGAGTGATCAGATGAATTGCAATTAATTGCAAAGTCCCTCTTTGCCATGAAAATGAACTTAATCCCCCCAAAAAACATTTCCACTGCATTTCAGCCCTGCCACAAAAGGACCAGCTGACATCATGTCAGTGATTATCTCGTTAACACAGGTGAGAGTGTTGACGAGGACAAGGCTGGAGATCACTCTGTCATGCTGATTGAGTTAGAATAACAGACTTGAAGCTTTAAAAGGAGGGTGGTGCTTGAAATCATTGTTCTTCCTCTGTTAACCATGGTTACCTGCAAGGAAACACATGCCGTCATCATTGCTTTGCACAAAAAGGGCTTCACAGGCAAGGATATTGCTGCTAGTAAGATTGCACCTAAATCAACCATGTATCGGATCATCAAGAACTTCAAGGAGAGAGGTTCAATTGTTGTGAAGAAGGCTTCAGGGCGCCCAAGAAAGTCCAGCAAGCGCCAGGACCGTCTCCTAAAGTTGATTCAGCTGCGGGATCGGGGCACCACCAGTGCAGAGCTTGCTCAGGAATGGCAGCATGCAGGTGTGAGTGCATCTGCACGCACAGTGAGGCGAAGACTTTTGGAGGATGGCCTAGTGTCAAGAAGGGCAGCGAGGAAGCCACTTCTCTCCAGGAAAAACATCAGGGACAGACTGATATTCTGCAAAAGGTACAGGGATTGGACTGCTGAGGACTGGGGTAAAGTCATTTTATCTGATGAATCCCCTTTCCGATTGTTTGGGGCATCCGGAAAAAAGCTTGTCCCGGAGAAGACAAGGTGAGCGCTACCATCAGTCCTGTGTCAAGCCAACAGTAAAGCATCCTGAGACCATTCATGTGTGGGGTTGCTTCTCAGCCAAGGGAGTGGGCTCACTCACAATTTTCCCAAGAACACAGCCATAAAGAATGGTACCAACACATCCTCCGAGATCTTCTCCCAACCATCCAAGAACAGTTTGGTGACGAACAATGCCTTTTCCAGCATGATGGAGCACCTTGCCATAAGGCAAAAGTGATAACTAAGTGGCTCTGGGAACAAAACATCGACATTTTGGGTCCATGGCCAGGAAACTCCCCAGACCTTAATCCCATTGAGAACTTGTGTTCAATCCTCAAGAGGCGGGTGGACAAACAAAAACCCACAAATTCTGACAAACACCAAGCATTGGTTATGCAAGAATGGGCTGCCATCAGTCAGGATGTGGCCCAGAAGTTAATTGACAGCATGCCAGGGTGGATTGCAGAGGTCTTGAAAAAGAAGGGTCAACACTGCAAATATTGACTCTTTGCATAAACTTAATGTAATTCTCAATAAAAGCCTTTGACACTTATGGAATGCTTGTAATTATACTTCAGTATACCATAGTAACATCTGACAAAAATATCTAAAAACACTGAAGCAGCATACTTTGTGAAGACCAATACTTGTCATTCTCAAAACTTTTGACCACGACTGTACTTCTCCCTTCATCCCTCCCTAACACAACAGACCAGGCGATGCATCACTCCTCGGCCGACATGTGGCCCAACACCTACGTCGCCCAGGGCCTCTATTGCCTCTCCTCCTCCGACGCCTGGGAGCCAATCAGTAACGATCCCTCGGGCGTGGCCTCGCCGGCCGCCTACATCATGGCGGGTGGGGGCGGAGGGACGCCCGGTGAGGGCTACGGCGAGGTGGACAACGTGGGGGGCTACATCCAGCAGCAGCAGCCCCAACAACTCACCCTGCAGCAGCAGAGCCAGTTGCAGCTCCAGCAGCTGCAGCAGATTCAGCTGTACCAGCACCAGCAGCTAATGCTCTACCAACAGCAACAGGTGAGACAGACTGGACTGGACTGCTTCATAGAGGACTGTCACCTGGTGGAGTTAGTGTTTCAATAACAACATGGAACTGTCTAACTGACAACCATTGTAAGACAGCAGTATGCTAGCAGTTTGTTAGTGTTATTAGCAAAAAATGTATCACATTTTTTAATCCTTCTTACTGTTAATGTAATGCTACCAATGCTATAGCGTTAATAACAACATGTGAGACCTACTAATTACATACAGAAATACTCATTGTCAAGAGCAACAGATGACTCATTTCCTCCCATTAGCCAAGAGCTATCGACTCATGGGGAGGTTTCTTGATAATGTAATTGTTTGTGTCATGAGAAAATTTGAATGAACTGTGTTCCCTTATCTACAGGCAATGGAACACAGGCTACACAGTGCAAACCACTCCCTCCAAGCCACGCCCAACAGCACTATCCACAGTCTGGGCCTGCCCACTCACCCTCGCCTGGCTGACCTATGGGGCTCTGCGCAGGTGGAGAGTGTCGGACAGATGAGCGGGCCAATGGGTGACATGGTTGGGGTTGTGGTCGAGACATTGGGGGAGGAGCCAGAGGAGGAGAGTGAATGCATTTCAGAGCAACAGGAAGAGGAGGAGACTAAGGTGAGCCATGTGGTTGAAGAAAAACGTGTTGATTTTCTGACTAGCGTTTTGTATTGCTTTAGATATTATCACACACATTGTTGCCTAAGCAGATTGAGCCAATCTGATATTGGCACTATTAACAGCAGGCCCAACAAGTAGCCAAGTCAAACGTTCAGCCTGCTGCACAGACCCTATGGGACACTCGAGCTCCTGGTTAAATAGTGCTTAGGAGTATTTTTAAACTCTCTCCATGATTAGAGTAGGAAGAAACAGATGTCATTGTTGTAAGAATTTGTGAGTGTACGACATTTACTATAGTAATATGTTCAAATATTGAATTACTTTGATATATTTAATTATGTTTTATTACGCTAAATTCCCTATGGTGTTACTACATTACACAGACTAACGTTTTCACCACAGAAGAATGACAGGAAATACACATCCTTTTTACCTCAGATTGGTGATGTTAGTTTTAAAGTTTATAGTCTTTGGTTTAGTACCAGTGTTTTTGCCATATGCGCCAGTCCAAAGTGGGACATAGAACGCAGCTGTCATTTTCAGAACCACGGTGGCTAGAAAACAATTGGCGCTCTTCCCATAAACGTCTCTTGCCTCACATGAATTCATGGATTTAAGGGTTAAGCTATCATTCAAATGAAAGCCAACCCCTGTCTCTATTTATTAACCGGTGTGAGGTGGTGATTCGTTGAAATTATCCAGCCAGAAAAGTGTTGTGTTTCCTTTTCTGTGTTGGCCATCTACCGAAATAATTTTCTCACAGAGTTATAAGTTGATAAAGGTCTACGATAGGTTGTCATCTATCGATAGATATATGTAGCATACCCAAGTTCATTGAGGTTTGTCTGTTAGAGTGCAAATGGTACATGTTGCAGTGGTTATTGTCCCAGTTCCAATGATTGAAATACAATATCGATGTGAGTGATTAATTTGCACTTGCTATTGATACGGTAGAACAAGCTAATCAATTCCAGTCTTGAGTGACCGCTTGGTAAATAGTGTGTAAGGAGTAACTTATGTATTGGTCTTCAAAATATCACAACTTATTTCAGCATATTGATCTAAAACCGGGGTTTTGACACTTGGCCAATGTATATTTTAGCAATATAAATGGTACTTTTAACATTATTTTCCAACAGGATTCTACCACTGAATGAGCCCAAAAAAGTGTTATGATTTATTGATTTTGATGATATTAGTGAAATCTTGAAAATATGTTTGTCATGGCTACCAAAAGTGTTTTACTTCAGTCTTACATCAAAGTCAGTCCTCCAGCCACAAGATGGCGTGCAAGGCTAATAAATGGGTTACGATGTACCCACAGGTAGAGATTTGACTAATCCTCACAGTTTGGTAAGTACAGTATAGTTGGTAAACCATCCATTTACTGTTTTCACAGGAAGATGAAGTTACGTTAACCTTGGAGCCAACTTTGACCCCGTCCCCGCTTAGAGAAGACGCCACCCCAATTGGAGGCACCAGTCCACAACTAGCACGCCCAGAACCAATGGCAGAGCGCATACCCTTTGTGGTCACACCCTGCATTGTCCAGTCGTTGGAGGAGAAGGACGAAGAGGTGGCGGAGGGGTCTATTGTTACCGTGGCAACCAATTGAGGGGGGCAGTCAGAGAGAGACTGACAAACAGGATACACTTATCAAGAATCAACCAGCTATACTACCCCCCTTACAGCTATTTACCCACTCTAAGACAGAAAAAACAGAAAGACTTTTCCTGGAGGAGAAAGTGTTGGTTATGACAATGATGAAAGAGCCACAGAGAACTTTAAAGACAACTCATTGACTGCTCAAATCTGTCGGTTTGCAGAAATGTAAGGATTTGTTTTGCAGTGATATTGAACTAAGGAAAGGAAATCGAAAGAATGGAGTTAAAGAGAGAAATAAAAAAGACACTGTGATAAATATCAGTGCAATATAGAGAATCACGAGACAACCAAAAGGAAGTGCATGCTTTTGAAAGTAATTTAACGATAATAGTAAACCGTATCCAAAGTAATAATATACAATAAGGATTTTTTATAAAACAAAAAAGGAAATAAAGTAATATGTATTATTGTGTGTTTGTTTGTGTATGTGTGCTTGCTTGCATGTATGTGTGTGTGAGTGTTCAAATGTATGAATGTATGTATGTACAGTATGTATGTATGTAAAAATATATATATATATTCTCGAAAAACATTCTTGTTGGCAGTGGTATTGTGTGTGGTGTTCAATAGTTTTACACACAAACTAATCTCTCGTGGACAGACGCACATAACATAATTTGATGCTATGGAATCTGGAGCGTTACAATCCTGTCAACAATATGGCTTTTCTGGTTCTGTTACTGGCGTCTTACAGTAGGCTTCACTACCCTCTGTCTGTCTCTTTATAACTGACTTATTGCTCTGTTGGAGGATATTGTTTTACTGCCTGTAATGTTGATGGCAATAGAAGTGAGAGACAGAAAAAGACTGGCGTGTGGGAGTGGAGCTGGGAACCACTCATTTGTTCACCAATTCATCAATATGACAAAGATGCCTCTATTGCTTTAAATGAACCGGCATGTTGCTTAGTACAAAGTTAACTCCAAAAGCCCATGGTCATTTAATATAATGTAAGTAGCATTAACTTTCATAGTAATAGTTTTATAATAGTTGTATTAGTTTTAATTTAATCATTTTATATTAGTTATTATGCTCTTCCAAATCCATATGCCATGAATAATCACAATAAAGAATTTGGCAGATAAGTTATTCACCTTTATTAACTACATTATTCATTGTTTATACATTCGGAGAAAGATCGGCTCTACGAAAAGATAAATAAATAAATACACGACTAAAGACAGACAGAGAAACGTAAACACGTGTGCTCACACATACTAGCGTACTGTACATACATACTGTACATTCATACATTAAAAAACAGATTAACAAAATACAATCAAAATCCTTTTCATTTAACAGACAGGAAGATTCATCTGTCCAACATCTGCAGGTTTAAAGACATAGGGAACAACCTGAGAAACTGTTTGAAGAAGAGAAAAATAGAGAGGGAGAAAGAAAAAGGGAAAGAAAGAAAAGTTCATTCATAATTCAACGACTTTTCAAATAAAACGCTGCGTCATTCTGTTTAGTTTTTCTTCTGTGCTCAGTGGTGTCAGAAGAACATCAGGGTTTTGTTTATTAGGACATGCAAAGGGTAACGTTTTACAATGTTTTGCCACGTAAATGAAAATGAGCCTTTCTTATTGGCCAAGGTCGAGGTAGTCCCCCCTGTTTCAGTCCGTTTTCCTACATCTGGTGCCTAATGACACAACCCTGTTTTTTTTGGGAGGTAGGAAAAGTCACCATCGTAAAAGTCACCAAGTTTCATCATCATGTCCTCAGTATGTGTTTGTTTTGTGTTATCATCAAGTGAGCGAGTAATCTAAATTACAGAGGGGGATGGCGGTTGTTCAGCTGGAGCCATAGCATCATTAAGTAAAAAACCTCTAGCATCATTACATCTGAGTTGGCTGTCATCAGTCTGATTTAACACGGTCATCTATCAACCCAGCATGGTGATCATAAAACTCCCTCACAAGTTGAGGATGGGTTTATTAAAGGTCGTTTTGGGGCCTTGTAGATTGTTTTGCTCATGGAGCACCACTGGTAGCCATTGTCTCCTGTTTAAAACCAATCTTAAAAAGTCCTACTATCGAGCCCAGATTATTTCTCCTCATGGATTCACAGACATCATTCATCGAGAGAAGAAAGAGGGAGCGAGAGGGAACAGCGAGAGAGTTAAAAGAGGGAAAGAGCAATAGGGAGAGAGAGAAAATGGAGGGATAGAGAAAGACTAAAAGAGAAATTCACACCATTAAAAAAAACGTTATAAAAAAAACAGCATTCGTCTATAAGGCTAGATGGGCTCCTCATCACTCTCCTCTTCCACTTGCTGCTCTGCGACAGGCCGGAGGGTGGTGAGGGGGGTGGAGAAGGCGGCGAGGGGGATGGAGAGGGCGACGGTGAGGGGCATGGAGAGGGGCGAGGTGAGGGGGATGGAGAGGGGCAAGGAGTGGGGTAGCGAGGGGCTACTGTTGCTACTGCTGCTGCTGCCCGTTCCGCTGCTGCTACCACTGCTGTTCACCTCCACCACCTCCCGCTTCGTGCCCTCGATCCACACCTCCATCTCCTCCTCCTCCTGTGTCGTGGGAGGTGGCGGGGCAGGGGCGCTGGGGACGACGGGAGCGGGGGAGAGAGGGGAGGAGGGGGCTGAGGTTGCCTGGTGTTTGGATGACTTTCGGCTGATGTTGCGGAAGCTGGCCAGAGGGGGACGTAGCCGGACCCCGCTACGGGTTGAGCCCTCAATGGCCTTTTGGAGCTGGGAGAGAATGTGGTAGTGGGGACAGGGAAAGAAGAACACATTAGAAGAACACAACGTTGAATTACATGAAAATAGCATGATGAGTAGACTCATAAGGCAATATGACTCAACCCTTACTAAATTCTCAGATTGTCACAAGCATAAGATAATTAAATCCTGTAAAATAGAAATAGAGAGAGAAAGAGAGAGAGAGAGAGAGAGAGAGATATAAAAGAGACAATTACATTTTCTTACCTCTTTAAGTGCCACAACACCCACCAGTTTTCCGATACTGGTGACATAGGCATGACTCAGGCCCAGTAATGAGAAGAGAGTGTGGGTCTGGGACAGGCAGAAAAGGTCAGACGTCAAATTAGGCCTCAACATTTTGGTATGGCTTCTGTTCTGAGCAAATCTACTATCGGTTGTATTTCAGGTGTGTCTAGACATGATGTCAGATACTGTACCTCCAAATTGGTATGAATTGGCAGCACTTCAACCAACCTTGTGTAATGATGTCCTCTCTACCAGCTGGAAAGGGGAGGGATCTATTCGGATCTGATCAATTTCCATTGGCTTGTCCATCTCGGCCTCCTCCCATTCTTTGATCTGCACCAGCCAACCAGACACAAGGTCAACCAACACTGTAATTGGCTAAAAACACTCTAAAACGCAACCTTCAATGTCAACTGCCTCCATAAGAGATTTAGGGTTGTTGACACCTTTTAACCCTCTTATGGATTTCAACATTAGCCCAGACCCTTTTGACAAGGACAAAAGTGTAGGAAAATGTACAAGGCAGTCTACTTTAATAATTTGGTATGGCATCAGGAGAAGTACAGTTCTTGGGACTACACTTAAATGGACATGAATGAGATCAGTTACCTCTTCTGGTGTCATCGTATCAGACAGGGGAGGGTTGGCGCAAGATTCCTGATGAGATAGCGAGAAAATAGAGGGGGGTAAGACAAGACACTTCCTGAGTAACGTCATGCACACATTTTTAGTTGCCCCCATTTTCTTTGAAGCGTTTCAAGGAGAGGTGATGACAGTCTCTTCACTTCTGCTTCCCATAACTTAGCTGATTGCCGCTGTTCTTGAAACCAATTACTCATATTTGTCTCTTCAAAATATATAGAATCATGTACCCTATTTGGCTGAATGCAGTGTCAAGAATCATTTTGTGTGGGCTGCATGTTCATCGATGTACTCTTGTTGATTTTTTAAGCCAGGTGTTTATGTGAAATATAATGACAACTTAGCTTATCAGAATGAAATAGTCATGAGTTTGGGGTGTACAATTCAACCCCAAAGCTGTGCTAGCCAGTGGAAGACTCTACAACAACGATGGTCTTGGTGGGAAAATGTACAAATCAACATTGAAAAGAGAGATAGGACAGTCATTTGTGCAGCTAGGAAAAGTATGAATCCAATTCAAATCCCATACTTACAAGCACATCCTTGAGTATAAAATAGGAATGGACTTGGCTTTTCAGAATGAAATAGTCATGAGTTTTGGGTGTACAATTCAAATCAAAGGCTGGCTTATCCAGTAGAAAACTGTAAAACTACGATGAGTGGCAAAATATTATGATCAACATTGAATAGGGAGATACAGTAGGTTGGTACTTACAAGTACATCCTTGAGTATCATTAACATACATTGTTTTTCATAATTTGCAGTATACATTGGTAATATGAAAAGCCAACCAGCCAGCCATACCAGGCAAATAATAACCATATTTCATATGCTGATTTCCATATTGTCACAATCGTTGACACGTGATGAAGCGGACCAAGGCGCAGCGTGATATGCGTACATACTTTTATTAGTGTACACACAACGAACCAAAACAATAAACGATACGTGAAGTCCTAGGTTAAATACACAAACCTTCCGGAACAAGATCCCACAATAAACGAGTGCCAAAAGACTGCCTAAGTATGGTTCCCAATCAGAGACAACGAGAATCAGCTGCCTCTGATTGGGAACCACCCTGGCCAACATAGAAAACACGAACTAGAACACAACATAGAAAATAACACATAGAAACTCCACACCCTGGCTCAACATATAAGAGTCCCCAGAGCCAGGGCGTGACACATATAGAACTCAGAGGGAATATGTTTGACTATGGAGCCTCTCTGAACAATATCCATTTGCAACTCATGTGAATTCAAGTCACACTCAATTAGATAAAGGAGTGGGTACATAGAGAGCAGAGCCCAGTAATGAGGTTCATCCCACGCAAATAGAATGGCTAATATTTATATTTTACATTTGAAATATGGTTTTCAATCGAACCGCCAAGGATAGAAGCTATCTACATCTCAACAGCTCATTATCCCAGTAATTTATTTGCTGCTCAATTCTCTGCTCCAGAAATACTTTAGTGATCGTTAGGGAAGACATTGTTGTGCGTACAGTAGTGCTGAGCGATTAGTGTTTTTTGAGGTTGGTTGGGTTTCGATTCGATGCTGAAAACAATTTGTTGTCCGTGCTACAGACGGCTATATCGGTCCGCTAATATAGGACTAGTAAAGGCCCAGTGCACTACTTTGGTGAATGTTTTTTTTAAATCCATTTTTTATATTTTGATTATTATAATTGTTTTGATTCAGATTTTTCAGGGTGTGGTGCGGCACCTTCAGCACCCCTATTTCCAACAGCCTCAATTTGTCGGGGTATGGACTCTACAAGGTGTCAAAAGCGTTCCACAGAGAGGCTGGCCCATGTTGACTCCAATGCTTCCCACAGTTGTGTCAAGTTGGCTGGATGTCCTTTGGGTGGTGGACCATTCTTTATATAAAGGCGAAAGAAACGCACACCTATTTAGGCGAGGTGCTGGCTGACAGCGTAAAACACTTGAAAACTAAAAGGAAAGCCGCACACTCTAGGAGCTCAGATGCAATAATTTAATATCCTAATAACCAACGGTTCGACAGACAAGCTGTCTTCATCAGGGTATACCTTTATTTTTCAAGGACCATTCTTTATACACACGGAAAACTGTTGAGCGTGAAAAACCCAGCAGCGTTGCAGTTCTTGACACACTCAAACTGGTGCGTCTGGCACCTGCTACCATACCCCGTTCAAAGGCACTTAAATCTTTTGTCTTGCCCATTGAATGGCACACATACTGTACACAATCCATGCCTCAATTGTCTCAAGGCTTAAAAATACTTATTTAACCTGTCTGGTCAGTCTATGTCATGGAAAGAGCATGTTTTGTACACAGTGTATATTACATTTGTATTATTTGATGACTTTATTTCATTCCAAGTCATCATCTCATCTTTATAGAGCTGCTGCCTATGCCATCTGACAAAATCACTATTTTAGTAGTTCTTCAAAGTAAATAAGGCATACTTTTATGACCGCTGAAAACAAATTACCAATCACTTAGATCATGTATTTTCAGGTAGAGATACTGCTCTCTATCCCTCTCCGCAGACACACAGACCGGACAAGTAGATACACAATGGATTATGTTTGTAGTTAACTGCCATGTTTTATGCGCTAAATTAAGTAGAATATTGGCCTGTTGGAAACTACAACTCCCTTCTACATCGCACAGTTCGGGCTTGATCTGATTTATCTCTAGAGAAAATGTGCATTGACCTCACAGAAAAAAACTAAATGGAATTCAAATAATTGAACCGACGTTGGTCAATTAGTTGTTTAATAAAACCAAAAAATTACCAAAATGTTGGTTAATCGCTCAGCACTAGCGTAGAGTCACAGACACAGGCACAGACACTCTGCACACACACAGTTATAGACTACCTGTGACTGTCCCTCTGCCTGTCTGTCTCGGGAGGTGAAGATATTCCGTAGAGTTCTCCTAACAGACTGAAGATGGCCCTTTTCTGAAAAGGACAGATGATAAAATATGGATGAGGGTCAAAGTCTTCTACAAAGGTGTCTTGATGTTGAGATTGATAACTAAATAATTCAAAGCTGTATAATAATATGAATATACAATAAGCTGTATAATAATATGTGACATTCTGTTTCCAGGAACCCATAGAAGTATTGTTCCAGAGAGATGGTTCAACTCACCAGGAGCTGTGTGATTGGACGAGGCCTCCTGTGGTTTAGGAGATGGCAGGGGGCCATTTCTCTCTTCCTGAACTGGGGTACTCTGGGAAATTTAACAAAACAGTCATTGTAAATTAATCACATTGACAGCTTAAATAATGACACAATACAATAAGTTCCTTGCCGCAAGGCGCTTCAGTAAGCGTTTTCCAGCTTGTCCCTGTAGAAGAACACTTTCTGGTTCCAGGTTGTCACCAAACAAAGAATCGTTTTAGAACCCTCCGAAGAACCTTCTTGGATGAAAACAGTTGCATGTAGACCCATTTAGAACCCTGTCCCTGTAGAACAACCCTTTTAGAACCCTTTTTCGCTGTACCTGCGAAAACATCTGCATATCTGTGTACGCAACCAATAAACTTTGATTAATTTTCTAAGAGTGTGTTTTTGATGCCTTATGAACATTTACCCTCGGTCTCTCTGACAAACCTTATCGCCATTCTCTTCATCATCTTCATCCACAAAGGCAAAGGATTCCCAGCTGTCTTTGGCATACTGGTTCTGTTCCTGTAAACACTGTTCCTGCCTGAGGACCCGCCTCTCTGCAGAGAGCCACCAATCACAGAGAGCATGGAGCTCTGACCGCTCGATGGAGCCCAATAGGATCATAGAATCTACAGAGAAGATAGTCACATGATGGAAATGAAGACACTGAAATGTATCCTCACGTTCATGAAAAACTCATTAATTTTACCTGTTGAATCCACTAGTGGTATCGTTTTGAGAGAAGTGGAATCCAGGAGGTGTATCAACTCCCTACAGGTGGACTGTAACGAGAGAAACTTCACTTTCCTAACCATGATGTCCTCCACAAAGATGTTATACTGGCTGTAAGTCAGAAGGAAATGGCAATCATTAATTCATGCTCAACACTTGTGTACTACTGGTGTGTCTATGTTGAGGAATCAAGCATGCTGAGGCGGCCATATTGACTCAAACAACTTATTGTTTTAGCATGGGACCCTCAATGCAACTGGGCCCCCTTAGAGCCAACATGTCACCTTGGTTGCAGGTTCTCTTTGCACACCTGATGTGTCCAAAGCCCAGCTCAGGGAGGTAAGGCAGTTTCTTGATCTGGATGATGGAGTCATAGAGCGAGGGCTGCAGGCCCTGGGCCACCATGTTGGCCAGGATCACCGCCACCATCATTGGCAGGATGTGGGAGATCTGGCCCGTCAGCTCGAAGCAGATCACTGCTGTGGACACCGTGTGGGTCACCGCCCCGGTCAGTGCCGCCGCTCCTGGGAGAGAGGAGGGAAAGGGGGGACGGAGGGAGAAATGAAAGACAGAGGAAGGGAGAGAGGGATGGGTAGAAAGAGAAAAGGGGAGAAAGAAGGCATTTGGAAGGGATGTGTAGATGGATGATCCACAGGAGAGGGGGATATAAAAGAGGGGGGAAGTGATGGGTGGATGGGCAAAAGATGGGAGTGATTCATGGAAAGAGGCAACACAGTACTCATAGTCGGTGAACAAGTACAGGAGGGATGGGAGGAGGGAAAGAAGGGATGAGGCATGGGGTGAAAAACAACGGATGAGGGGTGAGGAAGAGAAACATTATATCAGGGACCCAGGGTTGAAAATCAGGGGGATGATTAATGTACAGAACGGCACGTGGGAATAGCGAAGGAAGAAAGGGTAAAAGGGGGTGGAATGAAAGGAGCAGAGGAAAAGAGGAGGGGAGGGGGGTTTGTAGGGCAAGAGAGGGAAGATGAAGAAGATTAATGGAAGCATATAGGTTTATGGGTCACTGAGACAGCAGAGGACAGGAGAGGGGGAACAGACAGTGACATTTCGCCATCACACCAAAGGGGGATGACAGGCAGGCACTGACTGAGAGAGGGAGAGGAGGAGGTGGAAAGGGAGACTGACCAATGACTGCGTACCCTCCTGGGATGATGCGATACAAGATTCCATCAAACAGAATCCCGTGGGGGAAGAGGGCAGCCATGATCTCCCCCACCAGTCGGCCGAAAGAGGCTCCTGGGGAAAAAAAGACGATGGTATGGGAGGTGGAATGTCTACATAGCATGTTGGCTATCTGACATTTATCCCCCCCACCCCCCCCCCACCCCCCCTCTGCCACTCTCATAAGCACCCATCTATCTCTGTGGCTCACTAGTGATTTTTCACTCTTTGGTTATATACGACATCGAATCCTTGAAGGTACACTGATTAAAAACTACCCAGAATGCTCTACTTCATGATTACCCATTAAGCTTTATGCAATGGTCATGTTCTGTAGTCCTACACTGGATCGCTCTCTGTCAATTTACATGAAAGAAGAAATATTAAAAACTGATATGGAATTTGTGTTCATATTACAACTATCGTATCTGAAGATTATGCCTTTGTTAAATGTTTTTCATGACGAAATGGAATGTTGGTTGTTCAGGCCAGAGGGGGGAGGTTTTATGATGTTATTTGAAATGTGCCGCTTGGAGGGTGACGCCCGAGGGGAGACTGGTGATTGGCCAGAAGAAGGGAGTAGCCCCTCCCTTTGCATTGTTTATAAATAGGGGTTAAACAATGAGACGGCAGAACGGCCATAGCAATCTGGGAGCCGTTCTCCGGACATCGCGAGTCTGTATCTATGCTGTAAATTCGTGATTTTAATAAAAGCCTCTAACACGATGCAGCATAGCGAACTCTTTGTTGACGGCAATAATTGCCACCACTCATCATATACGACACAACTAATAACATGATAATGTTGTGCTTCTGTTTACCGAGTATGAACACAGGCATGAAGGCTCCAGAAGGGATGGGCATCGTCGTCGAAACAGCAGACATCCAAAACTGAGACATGGGTGGAATTCAATTAGTAACTGAGCAGAATTAATGCATCTTAGTACTTCCACAATAGCTTAGAGGTTTGACTGGACTTGAAAGGCATTTTTCACACAATAGACTATATTCCCGACTAGTCTTTTCGATTACATTTCTCCAATCCAATAATACCATTGTGACAAGATACAAATCCATTTCTTCTCAATGGGAAACGCTAATCATACTGATGCTAACACTCACAGTATTACACCCTTATCCTCTAGTACACAGTGGAAATCTCTAGACAACTATGTAAAGTGTGATACTGATGGAGCGTTAAGGATTGCATCTCCACTACAGTCTCTCTGCAGGAGATTCTTCTTCTACTGAGATGAGTGAATCAACCAGGAGTCTGTCATTGTACTGAGTGGCGCTATGTGCAATGTGTGACTATACCGACAAACGCTACGGGGTGGAAAAGAAAGAGAGAGGAGGGAGCGGGGGAATGAGGTAGGGTACCTTCATGACGAAGAAGAGGAGGAGGATGACGAAGACGCTGACGTCGGGGTGCAGCCAGGCAGAGGAGCGCCCCAGGCCGGGGGGAGGGGGGGAGCCCCAGATTTTGGTCCAGGTGAAGTTGTCAAACAGGGAGTTGATGCATTCTCTGGGCATCAGCTGGAGGTGGTATGAAAGAAGGGAAAGGAAGAGGGAAAAGTAATTGCAAATACTGTTAAAAAGTGTGAATGAAAAATGGTGTTAAAAAGTGTGAATGAAAAATGGGTGTTAAAAAGGTGTGAAGGAAAAATGGTGTTAAAAAGTGTTAATGAAAAATTGTGTTAAAAAGTGGTACTGAAAAAATAGTGTTAAAAGATTGAATGAAAAATAGTGTTAAAAAGAGTTTGGGATAAATTGTGTCAAAATGTGTAATGAATAGTTTAATATGTATCTAAATATAGAGTTATATTATGACAAAACCAACTGTACTGTAGTCAGAACTTGATCAAAATATTGCAGATGAAGATTGCTTTGTGTGCATCACATATGTCAACCCATAGGCCTATTCAATATATTGCCAAAAGAGAGGTTTTGAAATAAATACTGTACTGTGAGCAAAATGGTCAGTTTTGGAAACACCTCTGCATTTTAGCACCGTAGAAATGGGGCACAAGTACCATCTTAAAAAGGTGCTAAACACCGTAGCTTGAAGGTGAAGATCCCACCACACACAGGTGTTTCTGGCTGCTTTAAACACACCTCATTCGCACTAACTAAGCAGTCTATTTTAAGGGGTCACAAAACACATGATTAACCTAGGGCTATTTCTGCATGGCTGGGCAAAGAGGCTTCTTCAATGAATATCCAGCTAATATTGAACATCTAGATTACTCAGTCCAGGGTTAGCCTGGGTACCAGAATTCTCATGAGAGCAGAAATATAACTGGTACTGGCAGCCAGCCCACTGGGCACAGACGTGAGTGCAAAGTCTAGTTTTGATTTACATTTGGTTGAGTTGTTAACTAACGTGAATTCAACAAAAAATGCCACCATGTCATTGGATTTAAGTTAAAAGTTGGGTGACAAAAAATACGAAATGCCCTTACGTTGATGACTTTTTTCAAATAATCCAATCAGTTTTCCGCGTTGATTCGTTTTCCACGTTGATTCAACGTCATCACATAGTTTTTTGGGGTTGAAATTACGTGGAAACCACGTTGATTCAACCAGTTTGTGCCTAGTGGGTATTTCGAGTTATGAGAAAGCAAAGAATTCACAATTTATATATTTTGGTAAATAGTTGTACTTGTTAGATGATCCTATGAATGTTGCTCTGCAGGGACGTTTTTCATGATTGAGAATAGTAGATAACAGTCGCATTTTAGCCAAACAAAACAATATTGGTAACACTTTATAATAACTTATGCTTATTCATAAAAGTGTTATAAAGTGTTACTAACATGTTTTCAAGTCCCAATAAACAGGGACTTCTACAGAGCATGTTCATAGTGACAGATAAATACAATTGTATTTGAACTCTGACCTCTCCAGCCATGAACTGTCCAAATCCAGGGGGAAAGGTCAAGCTGGCTATCACTAAGGTCACAACACCGGGGAAAATCAGTCGGCTGGGGAAAGAAAAAGGATTAAAAAAACTCTGTTCCAACCCTATGTCCCTGACGTTCTCTGTAGCTCGGCTAGTAGAGCACTCTTCGGCGCTTGCAATGCCAGGATAGTGGGTTCGATTCCTGGGACCACCCTACGTAAAATGTATGCACACATGACTCTAAATAGCATTGGATAAAAGTGTCTGCTAAATGGCATGCCTTCAGAAAGTTCACACCCCTTTACTTTTTCCACATTTTGTTGTGTTACAGCCTGAAATTTAAATGGATTACATTTAGATTTTGTGTCACTGATCTACACACAATACCCCATGTTAGAGGAGGGGGTCGCAGTTCCGGAGTGACACACTAGGTGTCATCCTCCGACAACCTTAGGCACCTCCTCACTCACAGTCTGGACTAATCAGTATCCTATTGGTGTCACCTGTGTCTACCTGTTCACCTGTGTATTTATGCCCTCACTTCCCTGTGACAATTCATCTTGATGGTTGTAAAGTCGTCTCAAATAAAACTGTGAAGGACCTAGGCGTTACTCTTGACCCTGATCTCTCTTTTGACGAACATATCAAGACTGTTTCAAGGACAGCTTTTTTCCATCTACGTAACATTGCAAAAATCAGAAATTTTCTGTCCAAAAATGATGCAGAAAAATTAATCCATGCATTTGTTACTTCTAGATTAGACTACTGCAATGCTCTATTTTCCGGCTACCCGGATAAAGCACTAAATAAACTTCAGTTAGTGCTAAATACGGCTGCTAGAATCCTGACTAGAACCAAGAAATTTGATCATATTACTCCAGTGCTAGCTTCCCTACACTGGCTTCCTGTTAAGGCAAGGGCTGATTTCAAGGTTTTACTGTTAACCTATAAAGCGTTACATGGGCTTGCTCCTACCTATCTTTCCGAGTTGGTCCTGCCGTACATACCAATACGTACGCTACGGTCACAAGACGCAGGCCTCCTAATTGTCCCTAGAATTTCTAAGCAAACAGCGGGAGGCAGGGCTTTCTCCTATAGATCTCCATTTTTATGGAACAGTCTGCCTACCCATGTGAGAGACGCAGACTCGGTCTCAACCTTTAAGTCTTTACTGAAGACTTATCTCTTCAGTAGGTCATATGATTGAGTGTAGTCTGGCCCAGGAGTGTGAAGGTGAACGGAAAGGCTGGAGCAACGAACAGCCCTTGCTGTCTCTGCCAGGCCGGTTCCCCTCTCCACTGGGGTTCTCTGCCTCTAACCCTGTTGCAGGGGCTGAGTCACTGGCCTGCTGGTGCTCTTTCATGCCGTCCCTGGGAGGGGTGCGTCACTTGAGTGGGTTGAGTTACTGACGTGATCTTCCTGTCTGGGTTGGCGCCCCCCCCCCCCCTTGGTTTGTGCTGTGGTGGAGACCTCTGTGGGCTATACTCGGCCTTGTCTCAGGATTGTAAGTTGGTGGTTGGGGATATCCCTCTAGTGGTGCGGGGGCTGTGCTTTGGCGGAGTGGGTGGGGTTATATCCTTCCTGTTTGGCCCTGTCCGGGGGTTTCTTCGGATGGGGCCACAGTGTCTCCGGACCGCTCCTGTCTCAGCCTCCAGTATTTATGCTGCAGTAGTTTATGTGTCGGGGGGCTGGGGTTAGTTGGTTATACCTGGAGTACTTCTCCTGTCTTATCCAGTGTCCTGTGTGAATTTAAGTATGCTCTCTCTAATTCTCTCGTTCTCTCTTTCTCTCTGAGAACCTGAGCCCTAGGACCATACGTCAGGACTACCGGGCATGATGACACCCTGCTGCCCCCAGTCCGCCTGGCCTTGCTGCTATTCCAGTTTCAACTGTTCTGCCTGCGGCTACGAAACCCCTACCTGTCCCAGACCTGCTGTTTTCAACTCTAAATGATCGGCTATGAAAAGCCAACTGAGAGACCTGAGCCCTAGGACCATACGTCGGGACTACCGGCCGTGGTGACTCCTTGCTATCCCCAGTCCGCCTGGCCTTGCTGCTATTCCAGTTTAAACTGTTCTGCCTGCGGTTATGGAACCCCTACCTGTCCCAGACCTGCTGTTTTAAACTCTAATGATCGGCTATGAAAAGCCAACTGAGATTTATTCCTGATTATTATTTGACCATGCTTGTCACTTATGAACATTTTTGAACATCTTGGCATGGTTCTGTTATAATCTCCACCCGGCACAGCCAGAAGAGGACTGGCCACCCCTCATAGCCTGGTTCCTCTCTAGGTTTCTTCCTAGGTTTTGCCTTTCTAGGGAGTTTTTCCTAGCCACCGTGCTTCTACACCTGCATTACTAGCTGTTTGGGGTTTTAGGCTGGGTTTCTGTACAGCACTTCGAGATATTAGCTGATGTAAGAAGGGCTATATAAAATAAAATTGATTGATTGATTGATTGTTCCCTTGCTCAGTTTTCTCTGTTAGTTTCTCTATGTCCAGCAGTATTACTCAGTGTCTGATCGGAGTGTTCTCCCTGTTTTGTTATTCGTTTCAGTCGTAGGTAGTATTTCGTATTTTGGCTGTCAGACGGTTTTTGGAGACTTATTTGCTCCGACTTTCTTTTATTGTGGCTTCGGGACCACCAGTAAAGATCCTTGTTTCACCATCTCTGCCTACTGCCTACTGTATATCCTGCACCGCACCTGTGTCACACCTCTCACCAACCCTTACAGAAAACTGAGCCAATATGGACCCAGTGGAGGCAGCACAGTATCGGAGCGCATTGGCAACACAGGGAGATATGCTGAACCAACACGACCGCAGCCTGCAGCAGATCATCGAGAATCTCCGCCAGCTGACGATCGCCGTGCAGCGCCGGGTGGACACCCGACCAGCCCCGGCAGCCAGCGGAGCGGAAGCAGCGGCAGCGGCGTCTCCAGTCTCACCTACCACCTCCGGAGAGGTATGATGGACGTCCAGAGGGCTGCAGGGAATTCCTCACCCAGTGTTCCCTGGTATTCAGCCTACAACCCTCCTCCTTCCCGACGAAGCAGGGCTGGGTGGCTTACATCATCACTCTGTTGACAGGTCGGGCCCTTTCCTGGGCTACCGCGGAGTGGGAGAGCCAAACTCCGGCGTGCTCCGACTCCTACCAATTCACCCAGGAGCTACGCAAGGTGTTCGACACCTCTCAGGTGGTGTCAGGGCACGAGGCCGGGAGGTGGCTCACGGCCTGTTTGCAGGGTGACCGGTAGGTGGCAGACTACTCTGTGGAGTTCCGGACCCGGGCTCGAGAGGCAGGATGGGAGGAGGCCGATCTGGTCGTCCTTTACGCGCAGGGGCAATCGGAGGGGATGAAGGACGAACTCTCCTTCAGGGAGCTGCCTGAGCTACTGGACGGCCTCGTCAAACTCTCGGTGCGGGTAGACAATCGGCGTCGTGAGAGGGCGCATGAGAGAGGGATGACGCAAGGCACGCCTCCGCGTCCCCCTATCAACCTGGAGGCTTTCCGCTGATTCAGGGAGGAGATACCTCAGGAGGAGACTATGCAGCTGGGGGCGGGGCACTTGTCCAGGATGGAGAGGCAGAGGCATCTGCGCCAGGGACGTTGCCTGTACTGCGGCCAGGCAGATCACCACTGCGACTCATGCCCGGAGAAGCTGGGAAACGGGAGGGCTCGCTAGTATCGGGAGGGGTGCTAGTGAGCCGGAACCGAAACCCCAACTCCAGACACTCCCGGACCTTCAGTGGGCCGCTGCGCGTGGGCGCATGCAATGGTGGATTCTGACACTGCGGGAAACCTGATGAACGCGGGCTGGCCCAAGGGTAGAGCGTTCCGTTACTCTCCCTCTCCAAGCAGTTTCGGTCATGGGCCTGGACGGCTGGCCGTTGGGGTCGGGCTTCATCACCAAGCGCAATGTCACCGTGCGTGTCCGGGTGGCGGGGGGGGGGGGGGGGGGGGGCTATGGGAGGATATCCAGTTTTTCATTGTGGACTCTCCGGAGTGTCCCTCGTCCTCGGGCGCCCCTGGCTGGTCGCCCACAAACCCCGGATAGACTGGTCCACGGGGCGGCTCATCCTGGAAGGAGGCTCCGTCCCCATCCTGTGCCGGTCTCCACCGACCACTCATCAGCCCAAACCACCGTCCCAGACCACCTACCAGTCCTCACCTCTTCCCCAGGTCCCACACTACGAACCGCCTACCGCCCTAGCGGCGGTTGCCACTGGGAGGACGGCGACTACAGACTCCGTCACCAGCCCAGACCTGGAAGGCGTTCCCTGGGAGTATTGGGATCTGGGGGAGGTGTTTAGTAAGAGGCGTGCCAAGGGCCTACCTCCTCACAGGCCATACGACTAAGCTATCGATCTCCTGCCGGGCGCCATGCCCACACGAGGTCGATTGTTTTCCTTGTCCTGGCCGGAGACGCTGGCCATGAGGGAGTATATCGACGAGGCACTCATTGAGGGGCACATCCATCCCTCTACCTCACCCGTGGGCGCGGGCTTCTTCTTCATGGGGAGAAAGGACGGTGGGCAGCGGCCGTGCATTGATTACCGGGCGCTCAACGACATCACGACTAAGAACCGCTATCCACTCCCACTGATGACGACGGCATTCAAGTCGTTGCAGGGAGCCTGGGTCTTCACCAAGCTGCACTTACACAATGCCTACAAGTGGCTTGCGAAAGTATTCACCCCCCTTAGCATTTTTCCTATTTTGTTGTCTTACAACCTGGAATTAAAATGGATTTTGGGGGGGGGGTTGTATCATTTGATTTACACAACATGCATACCACTTTGAAGATGCTAAATATGTTTTATTGTGAAACAAACAAGAAATAGGATAAAAAAACAAAAAACTTGAGCGTGCATTCACCCCCCCAAAGTCAATACTTTGTAGAGCCACCTTCTTCAGCAATTACAGCTGCAAGTCTCTTGCGGTATGTCTCTATATACTTGGCACATCTAGCCACTGGGATTTTTGCCCATTCTTCAAGGCAAAACTTCTCCAGCTCCTTCAAGTTGGATGGGTTCCGCTGGTGTACA